ACAACAAAGTCTGATTTAAAATTGGGCAGAGGAGTTGAACAGACATTCTTCCAGAAGACAGACAGTCAACAGACACATAAAAAGATGTTCAGATCACTAATTATTAGAGAAATGCAAATCAAAACCACAGTAAGGTATTACCTCTTGCCTGTTAGAGTGACTATTATCAAACAGGAAAGAAATAACAAGTATTAGAGAAGATGTGGAGAAAGGGGAACCCTCCTACACCATTGGTGGGAATAGAAATTGGTACAGTCACTATGAAAAACAGTGTGGAGATTCCTCAAAAAATTAAAAGTAGAACTACCATATGATGCAGTTATCTGACTCTGGGGTGTTTATCCAAAGAATAAAAAAACACTAATTTTAAAAGATATGTGTACCTCTATGTTCAACACAGCATTATTTACATAGCTAAGATATGAAAACAATCTAAGTGCCCATCAACAGATGAATGGATAAACAAGATGTAGTATCAGACACAATGGAATACCACTCTGCTCTAAAAAAGATGAAATTTTGTCATTTACAACATGGATGAACCTTGAGGGTATTATTCTAAGTGGAGTAAGCCAGAGAAAGACAAATATGATTTCACTTACTGTGGAATTAAAGTAATGGTCACCAGGGGAAGGAGTGGGGAGGAGGGTGAAATGGATAAGAGAGATCAACAGTATGGTGATAGATGGAAACTAAATTTTTGGTAGTGAGCATGCTGCAGAAATATACTGTCGTACACATGAAACTTACATTATAAACAAATGTTGTCTCAATTTTTAAAAAATGGTGTTTACCTTATTCATCTTTTTATCTCTTAGTACATATTTAACAACTCAACAATATGTTTATTGAATTAAATTGAACACAGAAGTACATAATGATTTGCTTATAGGGTATTTGCTGAATTATCTTTCATCACAGTAACAAGAAAACAATGGGCTCTCCTTGGTGTAAGGCACAGGGTATATCAGGAATAAGCAGTCATTTGGCTTCAGTGGTGATCACTTCCAGCCAGAAGGGATCCAACTAGAAAAACAGTGTCTCTCTCTTCTTCCCCAAAGAGACAGGCTCCACCTGGATTTATTTTTGCTTTATGCTCCTCACTCTCTCTCACAATAACAATGCAAAAACCTCCACACCATAACCATTATTTTCTCTTTCCAAATCCTGGCTTCCCTCTTCTCTAATTATCCCCAACAGAAGTGTCCCCATTACAAAGAACAGAGCAAAAAAGGCAAGGACTTACAACTCAAGATAGACTGTGGTCAAATAAGGAAGAACTTGACTGCCATTCTCAACCAACTGTGGAACAGACTCAAAAGGAATTCTTGGTAAAATGTCAAGTGGGGAGAATTCAAGCCTGGGGAAAGGATAACGTGACCTCACGCTCGGACAATGAGCCTTCAAGTTAACCACACCTTGAAGTAAACACTCCCTCAATCAGAAGCAGTCGCGACTGGCGCTCCAACACCAAACAATGAAAAAGAGCCTAAGAGAGGAGAGTCATAAGCATCATCAGAAGAAGAAAAAGGAGGAAAGGCATGCTCCCTGAAAGCTTTCTTCTATGCAGGAAATACAGCACAGGCAACTAGGCAGTATCAACAGAAACAAATGGGATTACAATGTTTCAATTTACCAGTGCAGTGTTGCTCAAGCTTTATACCTCAACATAGCATGTCCCAGTAGTTGTTTGTATTACAGAGGCAGGAATAGAATGGAGGTGAAAAACACATGGGCTCTGGAAACAGACTGCCAGAAACATATCCTAGTTCCTGTACTTAACCAGCTGTGTGACCTTGGGCAAATTACCTAACGTCCCTGTGCCTCAGTTTTCACATCTGGAAAATGAAGCTAACAAAACTATTATGGTACCTGGAAAACTCTCAGGGATGCTCTTTACAAAATGTCATTTCTAAGGCAGAGTATAGCTTGGCCCATGCTTTAAATGCTATGTGTGTTTTACAAATAAAACTATTAAGATTCAATACGCACCCGAGTGCAGCTTATATACAACCTTGTGTTTCAAAACTGCTACTGGTATTGCCCTCATAAATCTCAAAGACCCTTTTATGTTGACCCCTATAAATCTGACTTGTTGACCAACAAATCCTTTTAACTGAAGGATAAATAACCAGTAAACATTGGTTTATTGAACTGAATAAGTCTAAAACCCAGAGGTCATTCTATGACATGGTGAAATACAAACTGAAGGTTTGACACCAGTAAATCAAACCATAGTCATCACCAGAATAAATGAATAAGGTAAGCATTATTTATTGGGCAGCCACTATGGTCACTTTCCAAGCTGTAGTAAATATTTGATGGGAAGGCATAAAATGTGACAGGGATGTAACCAGGCTTGGCTTCTGCCACACGACTGAACAAAATGGCATCAACTTAGTGAATTCATTCTGGCTTTTTCTGGTCCTCAGTTCTGAAGGCTCGGAAATTTGGTTTTGTCACCACATTCATTTATTTAACAGTTACTTGACAAGCACCTACTTTGCGACAGATCCTGCAAGAGGAAACGTGGAGAAAGTGGACAACACATCATTACAATCCCTGCCCAAAGTTGCAAAGTTGACAATTTGGCAGAGAAGACATATTAAAAACCCAAACGTGCACTGCAAAAATACCTGATTGTCAATAACCTAATTTACAATGAGAAGAGCTTCAAGTAGACTAGAATTTTTGTTCCTACAGACCAACTCATCTCTTGGCAATCATGACTACATAAAATTCAAACAGGGGAGTGTGTTGTATGAATGGGATCCAGGCACCACATTGGTAAAAAACCCCGGAAGGTTTAGGGTTGTAAATTACCTATTCTGAGCCCTGCCTATTCTCGCATTCTCGCCCCTTTTCTCCAAAAGTCTAAAGTCCATTTTTCAAATTTCTCCTTCCTCTACTACAATCCCGTACATTATCTTGTCTCACCAAATTTCTTCACTTATCACCCTGATTGACGTTTTCCATGTTCTAAAACTTCCTCCATCACATATCTAAAGAAATAGTGCCACTTACTTCAGAGGCAGCTACATATATTCAATCTTTGTAGAGTTCACCAGTTTAACCTTAAAGGGCAGCATAGTATCTGTTACTTTCACATTAAGGGTTGGTGTGGTGGGGCAGAAGGGCCACTTAGGGCCATTGTGCCCTGAAACTGTTGCTCCATAAACCCTCAAAATAGTTCTCATTTAAATTGTGAAATCACCCAATCAGGCCCAAAAGTTAACTTTATATGAATCATTAAGCATATTATACACACTGGAAAATGCCAGGCATTATACAAAGGTTAAAATTAAAGCAAGAACTTGGCAGGTTCATAGTCCAAGTTCAGTAGTCATTTTCTGTTGGTCATTCTATGAACTATGAGCAGTACCTGAGATAATAGTAGAAAAGTTTCAACCAACACTCAGATCAGCAGTATAAGGATACTTGAGTCAATACAGAAGTGAAATATCTCAAGTTATTTAATAATTAAAAAAAAAAAAAGAAAGCGTCCATGGTAAATGAAGACGTGTTTCATCCCTACCATGGAGAATGTATATCTGTTGCACGGGAAAGCACAGGGCTTTTGTTGGTAATTAAACATAGATGGAAACCATTTTTGTACTTCAATTGAACTTTGTTTGATGGAAAAAGATCATTTTACATCTGAGGTGATGGGGGCCTCGGTAGGTCATGTATACTACCCACATGTGCCAGTTAGTCATAGTGTCAGGCCTTAAGTTGAGTCGACAATCCCAAGACCTGGTCTTTATCCTGAGAGCCATAATTAGGGCTCTCTTTCCCATGGCTAAAATTAACGTAGCTCCCAGCATTTCAGAGGATCCACACAATCCCAGGTTCCAGCCACTCAACCCTCCTTTACAAACTGGAACAAAGAGCAAAAGAGGAACTTTCCACTGAATTTTCATGGAGAAAGATGAAAAGCTTAATATTTAAAAAAATTTTAATGTGATGAAACAGCAACTTGAATACAGTCTATGGAGAAAATGTAATTCCAGAGGGTAATTATTTAAAATGCTCAGCGGATGAACTTTTAAAATAGGCCCTCTAAGTTTCAGAAGAAATGTTCTGTGTGTTTCTTCTTCATAGACACATTTCCAGGAGTCAGCACAAGGCCTGGAAGTTATAAGGTGTTCTTTAACTCTTTTCTGAATACATAAATGAATAAATATATTCCTCTGGATCACTAACCATGAATTTTTCATCCAGGAAAAATAAGTTATTTAAAGACAAAAATTATTCTAGTATACATCACATAAAAGAATAAAACTTTGTTTTTCACTTTGAAAGATGAATTAATTTTCACCACTAAAAACAGGCTCAATGGACATGAGTCTGAGCAAACTCTGGGAAATAGTGAAGGACAGGGAAGCCTGGCGTGCTGCAATTCATGGGGTCGCAAAGAGTTGGACATAACTTAGCAACTAAACGACAATTAAAAACAATTAATGGAAAAAAATAAGTTTTCATAAAGATGACTGTCACAGATGGCATTAATTCTAAACCATTTTGTGCAATAAATATATAAAAATCTTGATATACTTACCTACATGCATGCAGTAGCAGTGACTGAATGTGAAAGATGTCTTATTAGGAAATAGACTCATAAAAATGACTATATATGAAAGAATATTCATAAGAGACTAAAAATACTTTCTGGGAATTTGTAATAAACATACTATGGACAAAAATTTCATAATTTGGGGTGTAATAAAACCTTTCAAAAGCAGGTATTTGTCAATACTTGATAGCCAAACTTGTTAATAAGATCTTCCCCATTATCATCATTTGTATCACATCACTAAGACATTGCTTCCCTGAGACCAATTCTGTAATTATAGGAAGACTGGGATGCTGACTTTATCATAAACATTTGCTATAAGGATGCCTTGTCCCCTTGTACTTCCTGCATGTATACCTTATGGATGTTCACACTGTTGTTTTATCACTACCATAAACTAATCTGGTTTGTTTATGATATAACTCACCAAGCACAATGACCACGGTCTTCAGAAGACTCATCATGGTATCCCGATTCCGTCGGGGTCCAGAACTATGCCGAGACATCCTCATAGTCCTCTGGCGAACATAGCCAAAGATATGGGCATACAGAACCACCATGACAACAAAGGTCACCAAGTTGAAAATGGCCCAGAAGACCAAGTAAGAGTCACTGTAGAGGGGCGCCATGTTGGAGCAATTCTCAATATCACAGATGCAGTTCCAGCCCACACTCGGTATAGCCCCCATAACAATGGCCATGGTCCAGATGACCACAATCACCACCACCACTCGCCGATTGCTCATCCGCGTGTGGAGCTGCATACGGAAGACCGTAATGTGCCTCTCAATTGCGATGGCCAGGAGGTTGGCCACGGAAGCCGTCAGGCTGGTGTCAATGAGGCCCTGGCGCAGGAGCCACGTGCTGACAGTCAGTCTCCGAGTATTGGGTCCTGTGTTGAACATTAGGTAGAAGTAGGCCAACCCAGCAAAGAAGTCCGCAGCAGCCAGATTTGCCATTAAGTAATAAATAGGAAAATGGAAGCGGCGGTTGACATAGATCGCCACCATGACCAGGAGGTTAGCCAACATGATGAAAATACAGACAGTGATTCCAAGCCCCATCACCAGCTTGCTGACTGTGTTCCATTCTGTGGCAAGATACTTTCCACTCCGGTTATAAAAGAAGGCGATGGACTCATTGTAGAAGCACTGCGGTTCATTCATGGCTGTGAACTAAAAGAGAAAGGAAGAAAGATGAGAAAAAGTGAAAAACCACAGATCCAAATTTAAAGATGTATAGATAAAGCAAGGCTTCTATGGTAAATGTGGCCCCCAAAAAGCCATAAGCAAAGAATTTGAAAATCTGACTCTATGTAATGTTCTATGATTATATTGAAACCCCAAGATTTCTTACAGTTTTACTGTCCTCAAGATTAAAGAGAGTTGGAGTTAAATAAATGACAAGGTCTGTGCTTGGTGGCTGCACATCATTGAAGTCTACTAGAAAAGCCACACGACCCAGAAATCATGCTTAAAATACATGAGACAGATGAGAATTTTGCAAGAGGGTTGCAACTGGAATATTTACCATAGTGCAATCTATTTTGACCTGTTATTTAGGGAATCTGTAAACACAGTTGGTTTATAGATAGGGTATCATTGCCCTATTATTCTGCATTTCTGTTCTCACATAGCATGTTCAATCCGTGTCAGGCATCTTGTAATGTTAAGTCCCCACAGGAACTATCAGTGCCAACATTTCAAAGAGGTCACTATGCATCAAAGCTTCTTTGCCCAAAGCCAGCGTTTGCTGTTCAACATTCCTGTGGTCAGCACTGTCTATCCCCACAACTACTTACCCTAGAATAGCATTCATCAATGCATCTATGATGTTTGAGAACTTTTTTCTTTTTGGAGGACATAAGAAATATGTTACCTAGTGTAACCTTCAAAGAGCAGATACTGCTTGGACACTTCTCTAAAGTATATCTTTTAAAATGATAATGAGTGATTTCGTTCAGTTCAGTCACTCGGTCATGTCCAACTCTTTGCAACCCCATGAATCGCAGCACGCCAGGCCTCCCTGTCCATCACCAACCCCCCGGAGTCCACCCAAACTCATGTCCATTGAGTCGGTAATGCCATCCAACCATCTCATCCTCCGTCACCCCCTTCTCCTCCCGCCCTCAATCTTTCCCAGCAACAGGGTCTTTTCAAGTGAGTCAGCTCTGCGCAACAGATGGCCAAAGTATTCGAGTTTCAGCTTCAACATCAGTCTTTCCAATGAACACCCAGGACTGATCTCCTAATGTTTTATTATGTGTTTTCATATTTTTAACATTCTCAAATGGAATATATTTGCTTATCAAATACTTCAACTCTTACTTGAATCCAAAAAGGACTGAGGAGGTTTATAACAGAGTGACATAAGCAGTCAATAAAACTATTACAACAAAATTAGAGAGTAAGAAGTAACATGAAGGAGAAACTAGAAAATTACACACCAAATCAACTTTCCTAAAGACTTAAGTTTACCTGTGACTCCTAAAATTGGAGAATATTTTTTTAAGACAGCTCACAACCAACCTTTTTATCTTGCATCGCATTTGACAAATAATCTAGCAAATACAGTTTTTTTTTTAAGCAAATACAGTTTTAACCACTAGTTTTGATCAAATATTCTACTGAATATCCGTGGACTGTGCATAAATGTTTACCAATCACAGAAACCTCCAAAACAGTGTGTGAGATTCTTCTTGAATGCTTAGTCTCCAACTTGTCCAGAAATCTAGGGTCTCTTTCCTCATTTATACTCAACAGACTTTAGATTATGTTTCTATAATCATCCCTTTTATAGGCTGTATGATTATTTATCACTTTGTTTCTTAAAAAGATGACACTCCAGGGGAAGAGTGGGGACCTTGCCCTACACATCTTGGTATTTCATGTACCTTCCACAGAAAACCCCTTATTGGAGATCTGAGAATTTATGCTTCATTCCACTTCCAATCTTGCCATTACTCTGGGTAACTCATCTAATTTTCTAGCTTCTCAGTTTCTTGATCTCATCACTCATGCCTTTCTATTCCTATAACTCAGCTGCCCACTCCCCTGATCATACCCTGAACTTGGTAATCGTTCAAAACTGTCTCCCTTTGGAAATAATCAATTGACACATTCAATACTCTTTACATTTTAATTACTCTTCCCATTCTTTCCAGTTTATACATTCTAGTTACTCACTTCCCATTCTTCATAATTTCTCACTTGATCCCCAATACAGCAGTTTTTTGAAGCCATCTATTTCCTTAAGCATCCTACTTTTTCCCAGTAGATTACCTCTCTTTCTTACCCCTTTTTCTTATCCATCTCAGGTTCCATAGTGTATCATTTCAACCACTTTTTTTTTTTTTGCTAACACAGGAACACATTCTCTTCTTGAAGACTCTGAGGTCAGGTTTCCTTCAGAATTTAAACATTTTCTGGTTTTGTTTTGCTTTTGACCACCAGGATGTCGGATCTTAGTCACCCAACCAAAGATGGAACCCACACCCCCAGCAGTGGAAGCACAGAGTCTCAATCACTGGATTGCCAGGGAAGTTCCCCAGAATTTGGTTTTAAGCACAATTATAGAGGACGCAATCCTTATCTGATGTAACAGCCCCATCAAAATTTAGGGCAGCACTCCATAGTGATACACATTACTTTCTAAACTAAAACATGAATGTTGTGTTGTGTGCTTAGTCACTCAGTCCTATCAGACTCTTTGAGACCCCCTGGACTGTAGTCTGCAAGGCTCCTCTCTCCATGGAATTTTCCAGGCAAGAATATTGGAGTGGGTTGCCATTTTTTACTCCAGGGGATCTTCCCAACCCAGGGATCGAACCACATCTCTTTTGTCTCCTGCATTGGCAGGTGAATTCTTTACCATTTGATCCACCTTGGAAGCCCTAAAATATGAATATATACACTAAATTTGATAAATAAAGGTTGTAAGTAGCCTCATATTGATTCATTCGGAGCAAATTTTCCTACTGAGTTAAGAAAAAAAAAATCTTCCATTTTCAGACCTTCTTGAATTTTATAATTTCAAGTTAGGAAGCAGAGACCTTTACCTTTTAATTGACTTGCTCCACTGTACTTCTGCCACCATTTCTTAGAATAACACCAGTCTTGGATAAAAGCAACTGGTTCCTGTAATGGTAAAGAACCCACCTGACACTGCAGGAGACAAAAGATGCAGGTTCAATTCCTGGGTCAGGAAGACCTCCTGGAGGAGGGCATGGCAACCCACTCCAGTATTCTTGCCTGGAGAATCCCATGGACAGAGGAGCCTGGTGGACTATAGTCCATGGGGTTGCAAACAGTCAGACATGACTGAGCAACTAACACTACTCCATACTTATGCCAAGGATTCTGAGAAATGTTAGAGGAAATCTAAAATACCTGGCAGGCTTCCCAGATAGCTTAGTTGGTAAAGAATCTGCCTGCAATGCAAGAGACCCTGGTTCTATTCCTGGGTTGGCAAGACCCACTGCAGAATGGATAGGCTACCCACTCCAGTATTCCTGAGCTTCCCTTGTGGCTCAGGTGGTAAAGAATCAGCCTCAATTGAGACCTTAATGCCATAAGAAATCTGATTTTCACCCTAATTATTATTCTGTGTCTTCTTCACAGTAACTATTTAAAACTTATCTATTATTCTCTCGAGTCCCACCTTCCGTCTCTGCATCAGCAGTTGCCAAAAGGGGAAACTTAGAAATCAGCAGCTTGGACTCTTACCTTTAAAAGTACTACTCAAGAATCTATCCTTCCTTCTCCTTCTGTTACAATGGAAAAGGCATACCCTTTGTCTCCAAGTGTTCTGAATCCCATCCATCCCTACTATTTCCAGAACCTTGTTCTATAAATTGCTTCTTTTCTCTTCTTCAGACCTTCAATTCCCCTCCTCACTCATTCTTCTCTCCCATGAATCTTTCTATAATCAAGCTGGTTTAATCTCTACCAAAGACAGAAAGAAAGCCTTATAATAACTTCATGTTCACTTTCAGGTTTGATGATTCTTTCCCCTTCATGGCCAATTGCTCTCTCTTACGTCTCACTGGGCATGAGATGGCTGGATGGTATCACCGACTCGATGGACATGAGTTTGACTAAACTCCGGGAGTTGGTGACGGACAGGGAGGCCTGGAGTGCTGCAGTTCGTGGGGTCGCAGAGAGTCGGACACGACTGAGCGACTACTGACTGACTGACGTCTCACTGGACACCCACTGGTTTCTCAATTACCTGTCATATGGGTTCTCCTCCTACCCCTCCATGAAAACCACTCTAGCCAATCCTTGAGTTTCACATAACTTCCCAAAGTCACACCAATCTGGTGGCTGGTCCAATGGAAACTTATTAGTCCTCACCATACTAACCCCTCAGAGCATTAGACACATGACTGGAAGCCTCTTTTTAAGAAAATCCTCTTTCTTTGACTCTCATGACATCATATTCTCCTGGGTGCTGATCTCTCTCTTGGGCTGGTCCTCCACAGTCATTTCCAAGGTTCCCCATCCTCTGTGCAACGTTACTATTTCTACCCTATATTCTCATTTAACACACATGTACTGATTTTTCAAAAATGTCCTCCAAGATTTCAGTTATCTTACATATCTCAAATATTCCCATGCCTAGTCATTCAGTCGTGTCCAACTCTTTGTGACCCCAAGGGCTGTAGCCTGTCAGGCTCCTCAATCCATGAGATTTTCAGGCAAGAATACTGGAATGAGCTGTCATTTCCTTTTCCAGGGGATCTCCCGACCCAGGGATCAACCCCCACATTTCCTGCATCTCTTGGATTGGCAGGCTGATTCTTTACCACTCACCCACCTGGGAAGCCCAAATATTCCCATACCTATACATTTAACCCCTATTCCTTTCCTGTGCTTTAAGCAAATATCAAACTTCTCACCGTTATCTCTATTGCGTAGTCTCTGTGTTCAAAACTAAGCTCAAACTTTAAATCTTCCCCAGCTTGCTCCTCCTGTGGTCTCTATTGCTAAGGCTAGAGAACCGCTAGCTTTCCAGTGGCCTGAGTGCTAAACCTGGGAAATTCCTTTTTCTCTCATCCTCATCATTCAGACAGTAACCATATCCTCTAAATTCTCCTTCCTCAGTATCTGTTCAACCTGTTTATTGTTCCATCCTCATGGCCACCAGCAATACTACTATACTGGTTTCCTCGGTG